ACGCAAGTCTTATCCCACACTCTAATTTCAATGAAGGCTCTTTAGATCTTCAAAGCAAACAACTATAAAGAAATTAACTTCTAATATAATCCTTAACAAAAATCTGGCGCAGAAAGGTGCAAATATAAACAATAATACGTTTTCATCTGTTATTTAATGGATTGATAAATAATGGTAAAATTAAGATTAGATATAAAACAAATTTTGTTTAAGATTTTGATATTTTCATACTCCGAATGTTATTCTATGCATTATATATTATTCTAATCTTACATTTTTTTGAAGTTTATTTAAATAAAATTTGAACAAATACTCATCTAATATTAATTGGCCTTATAAAGGATTTAAATATGTGAGTGACTTAAAATACAGAGTCCTTAATGATTTAAAAATTACTTGTTAAATCTTAATCATTATAATTGATATAAGCAATAGAATATTTTATTTAATTCTATTGTATTATTCCGTCCTACTTAAGTACTTTTTGTTGTGATAAATAACTTAATGGATAGAAATAAAGCACCGTTAAATATTGCTAATAACCAAAATTTCACTTAAAATAATCAACAGAACACTCATTATCATTATGAACAATTATAGTAGCAGCAATAACCAAATTTAGAAGAAGAATAAGCCATAATTTAGTACTATGTCTATGAAGACTTTTAAAATTTTCTTAATCTTTTATATTCATTTTAAGCTGTTAAAGAATTTTTTAAAAAAAATCCTGAACACATTTTGATTAAAATTTCTGAAAATAAACTATTAACTCAAATGAATCTTTCAAATTCCATTCATTATGATTTATAAATGACTTCAAAACATCCTAAATAAATAGAATGTTTATAAAAAAATAAAAAAGCTTTAAAAAGTCAAATTAGAGAAGTATGCCCTCAAGAATTTGAAAAGGAAATTAAATTTTATGAGGAATATTGCTTAAATGAAAAAGTGAGTATAAAAAGGCTGGAATTAAAAGCCACTTAATTAAAAGCAAATTTTAATGAGGGAGTTTTATAATAAATTTTGCCCTAAATTCAAACTGTTGAGAATAAAGTTAATTACATAAGAAAAAACAAAAAGTATTAAATACCATCAATATAAGATATGAAAAAAATTGCTGAGTAAATTATTTTTATATAATAGATAATACAAAGATTAGACAAACCAGAAACTGAAGGAATAAAAAATCAAATTATGATAAATACAACATTAATATACAATGTAATTAAAATTGTTAAAAATATAATATCATTTTATGAGTTGATTATTATTTAAATACTAATTCTCAACTTTATTACATCTATAGGTAATGCTGAAACTAATAGAGAAAGAAGAATTTTCTAATTTAAATTTATATTAGCTTTTTCTCCTTTTACTATGAAACCATTTTTTCCATAAAGGATTAAAATGTATAAAACTTGTAAAAAATTGGGAATTTGTTTTTGAAATAAGTATTTTATGCTTAAGAAATTTTAACTTAAGATGATTGTTTGAGTTATTCAATTAATTTGCCATCTCTTAATGACATCCATATATTCTGCTCTATCTAAATGCTTAAACAAAAAAATGGATGGTATTTCCTGATCTTATTTGACCTATTAATGCTATTTTTTTGACCGTCCTAATTTCTTCATACAAAATGTTCATAGTAATGTCTAAGAATATCGACCCATATTCTGTTACGCTTCAGATTATCAAGGATAAGACATTCAGAAATTAAATTTAAAGATCACTCATAATAAATTACTACATTATGTTTAAAATTGTAAATACATTTACTATTTTAGAGAGTAAATTAGTTTTCTTTTATACAGATAAACGTTATTAAACTTTTGATTAAGATTTAAAATATTTTTCCAAATATTGATAAAGAGATAAATAGATTCCTCATACTCAAAAACAAAGGATTATTGTAAATTATATCAAAAGTGTAGAAACAGCTTTAAGTGTTTGTTTCCTTGTGTTTGATCAATATTGAAATTGGGGATCAAATTAAAATATGAAAATTAATTTGTATTTATAAAACCCAAAAAAATATTTTAAAGGAGATAATAGAATATGAATTATATGAATAATAAATTGTATTAATAAGTAATGGTACTATAAATGCCACTTTATTATTATAAGTATATATGTGCAGTTGAATTTATTTTAGAGAGCAAATATGCTTCATCTAAATAGTAGAAACTCATTTAGTAACTATTAATAAATATATTTTAGATCTATTCAAACTGAAGTATGTACAAAAACATTAAAATAATTTTCCAATTATATTAGAATCAATATCTTTGAAATGAACTTCAAATAAACTTAATGTCTTCCATTTACAATTAGAAAGATGTTGAATTTTGAAGAGTCAAATGTAAGGAAGTTTTTGCTAAAGAAAATTAAAGAATGGAAATTTAAATGAATATAAACAAAATTAGAGGGTTCAAGTTTATATAAACGATTCTAAATTATAAACAGAAAATTTAATAATAAGTAATACAATAATAAGAGAGATATTGACTAGTTTTGATAGCTTTGATTATATCCTTCTTATTTTAAAATGATTGAATCTGACTAATTGAACTTGTAAATTCTAAAAATGAATTATTGAACTAAAGAACAAAAGATCTAAGTCTAACTAAGGGGTTTAACCTTAGGTTGTGCTTTAATAGTACCAGCGCAAGAAGTGATTTATATCAGGAGTGGATAAACAGAGAATTTTGACTCAGCATTGCAATTATAATTTTAACTGAAAGCAAAATGTATGTTTTAAGATATTTAATGCTTTATACAAAAAGGGATTGAATGCTTCATTAATAACTCTTCTCATTTATTCATATTTAATCCATCTATAATTCAGTCTAAAGTAAGAATACTGATTTTAATAATAAAATAATTATTTAAAAATTAGATTTATATTATGATTAAATATTGTGGTTATAAATATTAGAAAGTATAGTAAATAAATAGAAGAATACTAAAATAAATAAATATTAATCAATAAATAAATTATGTCCAATTTAGTATCATTTGTTCTCTTATTTTCTCAACCATCTTATATTACCAGGTTGTTTTAGCTATTTGTCTGATCGAGAATTTTGTTGTCTTTTTATTCAATCTAATTTGTATTTAAATTCTAGATATAATCTTAAATTCTCAAAATCCCATAATAGAAATCAGTTATAAGTCCATATGTTAATCCAAATAATTAAATAAAGATTGCTAATAGGACAAAAGAAATAACAGCCCAGCCTAAGTTAACTTTAATTTGCTGTATAAAGGCAATCTCTTTTGTATCATTTATTGAAAATATGACTGCAATCAATAATATTAAACTTAAACTAAGTTCTGATATAAGCTAAAAATAAAATTCCTTCTTAGTATTATAAGGATTTTTGTATAGAATAAACATTACCCCAACTGAAGTTGAAACAAAACATAATGATGTTTAAAAAATTGGTATATTATAATAATATACCATAAAAAAGATATATAAAATCTTTCTAATCAATCCAAAAAATTTAAAATAATATCCAAATGATTCCTTCGTATTAACATTTTCATAATAAACCTCGAATTATTCTTTGTATTATTTATTTTCTGCAAGCAATATATGTAAATTAAGTGTTTTATATTATTGGTAAATTTAAAACAAAATGATACTAACAGAAATTACAGCAAAAAATTAATTTAAATCAACAATGATATTTTACTATTTTTTTGAAAAAGTAATTTAAAGCATAATAGCTAATGTAATATCAAGCAAACATAATGAAAGTGTTTATTTCAACTTATTTTTCAACTCCTTATCCATAATAATCAATCCATTTATTATCTGTTTTAAAAAGCCATTAATTTATATTTAAGTTTTAGTTTATAGTTATGGTTATTAAACTAAACTATGCTAAGTTTTCTTTTAAACTTGTAAATTAAAAATACTAAAGTGTTTATGAATGATTTGACTATGATTTTTTTATCGGAATTATTTTATGGCATTAAAGAATTGTAATATTATGAAATTTATTCCGTATAAGATAAAAGTGATAAAAATGAAAATAAAGGGAATCTAAATATTATTAAAGAATAGTGGATCTATCCCTTTATTTTAAAATTTTTAAGGAGCCTAAAAGTAATAGGAACAATCAGGTTAATTTAATCCTTGATATGTTGGAAAAGCAACAAAGGATGACCAATCAGAATTCAAAAAGAACATTTCTACATTAAAAGGATAATGAACATTTAAAAAATAGAAATTATTAACCCAACTTAAAATTTCTAACACAGCCCACAAATAATCATATAGGCGTAAAATTATGGATACTGGAATCAATATAAGAAAAATAAAATTAAAAGTTGTTTAAGCATTTGAAATTTACTCAGCTTATTATTTTTCATTTTAGTTCATTACAATTTATTCTGTAGGTTAAATTATGAAATTTATTGTTTAAATATTTTTCTCCAAAAGTAATCTATTTTATAAGAATGAAAAAGTGAGAGCGATATGAATAGTATTCTGCTTGAATATAGATTTAAAGAATTGAAATTGAATATTGCAGATATTATTTTAAGCTGTTATGTTATATATAAAATCTGTCGTTTTCATACCATCGATTATAATAATAGGATCCTAACAATTTAATACTAATGTATATTCTGACTAATTGAGGGAAAGATCATATGCACCATTATGATTGAATTGCCAAATTTATAATTTTTCAATAAAGTTTTCTGATAACTCAATTCTGCATTCAGAGTCACAACCATCACCATCTTCTAAATTTCCATCATCGCAATCCTCTTCTTCTTTAGCAACTATTCCATCCCCACATATAGCAATACAAATTTTATTTTAGTAATCAGTATAATAACCAGGAATTGATTCACATAACTCACAATCATTTCTATAGCATGATGTACATAAATTTGATTAGTCTTTACAAGTAATACAATTAATATCGCATTGGAAACAATTATCTAAAACTGGATAAAAGCCCGGCATACAATAATTACATTTTAGATCCAATTAATTTATACTTTAGCATTCACTACAATAAATTCCGCAAGTTTTACAAATTGAATAAGTGGGACCATGACAAACATATCCTTTTTAGATTTGACAATCATTACACCCTTATTCATTCGGATTATCACATTCTTCTTATTAACTGATTAATGAATCTCCGCAAATTGAAATACATTTATCTATTTCTAATGTAAATCCATCATTACATTTGATACATTTACCATAATAACAAACTGCACATGTCTCTAACATTTTGCAATCTTCATATTAAATTAACTAACAATGTGAGCATCCATCATAATTATCAACATTACCATCGTCGCATTATTCTAATCCTTAAATTATTTAATCTCCACATATTGATTCACATAAATTGTTAATAGAATTCATATAATAACCATACTTGCATTACAAACATAACTCTTAAACAAAGATTTCACAATTAATAAATTAATCTTCATATAATCCAAGAGACATATATGCTATTTTAGAATGATGTATTGATATCAAACTTGATTGTAATTCTGGCATTAGCAAGCATTAACTCTTAACAAAGAACTAGCATAATTATTCACCTGAGTACTTGCAATTAAAGCACCCATCAAATGGAATGAGATTAGCATCATCGTAATCCTCATCTACAGAAGTTATTCCATCATTCTAAACCTACTCAAATAAATCAATATCATCATCTTATATTGGTTTCAAAATTGAAATGAACATGTTTTTAATTCCACAAAATGCTGTTATAGTATTATATTAATTATTGTCACAATGGAACAGTATTTTTAATTCTTTAATATCGTTATCTGAATATTCTACTTTTTCTCTCACAGAAATTATATCAGTATAATAATTATCTATCCAATTTTGATCTTCCTTCAAATTTAAATTATTTTAAATCCTCTCTGTTTTCTTTGGTTATGAATTAATTGTGTAATGAAATTAAATTCCAGACATTTATTCATCTCCTAGAATTATTTCAAATTTAACATAAACAGTTTATTATACGTTCTCAAGTTCTAGATGAAAATTAAACTAAGCATTCACCCAAACAAAAGGTCCTCCAAATATTCGTCTATTTTGAAAATATGAGAAGTAAATGTTCTTTCCTTTCTAAAAATTGGTTTACTAATTTGCACTGTTATCTAAGCTAACTAGTTTAAATAATTCATTTATTCTTTTATTGCTAGTTGAAAGATCATAAAATTCTTTCACTAAAAATATTTCTTATTTATCTTCACTCTAGTCAACTATTTCATTTGGAATAACACAAGCTTTGTCATGCCCACTCAACAAGCCG